GGAAGGAAGGAAGGAAGGAAGGAAGGAAGGAAGGAAGGAAGGAAGGATTTTTCAAGATGTCTGGATTTCTGTGTACAGGACAGCCATCATCTTATAATCCAGAGCTTTAGCAGAAATTATTTCCATGCACACCACTGCACATTCTGCAAAGCCATGCTTCAGAAGCAAAGTCAGGCCAGTTCTCTGATGCTTTCCTGAAATATATGTCTTTGCACTGTGATTAAGTAACTTTAGGAATGCAGAGAACACTCACTGTCCACCGTCATCTCAACGTGTTGCCACCACAAACTCAGAGAGCAGCTGAGAAAAACGTCACTCCATCACTGATCATTATAATTTTCTCCAAGGATGACAAACACTCCAATCCCATGAAAGCAGTTCATCAGTGCACTGATGTTAGAGGGGTAGAAAATAAGAGAAAAGGCCCATGTTCAAAGTCAATACACAATGCAGTCGAGAGACGTTTCAACTCAGTATCACACTTAAGGGGAATACACAGAAATAAGGAAACTTCATGGGTCATAATTTTAAGCACAACACAACATCAGCTACATTTTGCTTCTCTTCCAGGTGCTCAGATGGAAGGCAAGCTTGTGTGAATGCAGTGTGGCTACCTGTCTCTTCTCTGAAGCCACAGTTATTAATAATCGTTCTCATCTGAGTTTGTTTTACCATTCTCTGCATGGCAATGCTTCTGTCTCAGGAGGAAAGTATTTCATGTCATAAAAGCCACCTTATTTCAGATCTGGGTAAAATTGAAAGCCAGAAGAAACTGAATGAAAGTTAATAAAAGTTAAGGGTTGTCTGGGGGAAAAAAAGAAAGAAGAAAGGGAAGAAAGAAAGAAAGAAAGAAAGAAAGAAAGAAAGAAAGAAAGAAAGAAAGAAAGAAAGAAAGAAGAAATGTAAACTACAGAATTAAATTAGAGGCTGCTTTCATTTATCTATATTTTTAAGTGTTGTTCTCATTTTTATTTATATGCATGTGGTAGGATGGTTGTGTGTGCAGAGGCCGGAAGGGAAAGCTGGAGTTAAGGCAGTTGTGAACCAACTAGGTTGTGAGCTGCCTGGTGGGGTGCCTGGAACCACACCTGGGTACTCTGAAAGAGCAGTAAATGCTCTTAACTGCTGATCCATCTCCCTGGCCCCCATGTTTTAGAGCACAAGCTTGTTGAAGCTAGTGGGAATCTTCCGCCTCAGCTTCCCAGGAGCTACAATTACAGGTATGAGGCCTGGTGTCTGACAAACTACCCTACTTTATGTAAAACACTCTGTCTTAGTTACTTTTCTATTGCTGTGAGGAGATCTCATGACCAAGGCAACTTTTAGAAGACAGAGTTTATGGGTGGCTTACGGTTTCAGAGGGTGGATTCATGACCATCATGGTGGGAAGCATGACAGAGGGCAAGCAGGCATGGAGCTGGAGCCACAGCTGAGATTGCATCTTGAGACACAACCGTCAGGCAGAGAGAAGTTACAGGACATCATGTGGGTTTTTGAAACCCCAAAGCACATGTCCTCACCACCACTGTGATGTATTCCCTCCAATAAGGCCATACCTCCTAATCCTTCCCAAACAGTTTCACCAGCTGGAGACCAAACATTCAAATATATGAGCTCATGAAGCTGCTTTCATTCAAATCATCCCACATTCTAGGATGGTTACCTCTGTAATCTGATTCATGTAGTTTTTTGTTTGTTTGTTTTTCTGTTCTCTTAGCCATTGCCATTTTGAAACCAGTGGAACACGATAGAACTCACATCAGACATGTGTCCTTCAAGAATAGTATTCACAGGGAAGATTGGCAAGAGGCAAGATACAGTTCTCCTTCTTCCTTGGGGGCTGTTGGAGATCAGCCCATGGAGGCAGGGGGCAAAAACAGAAGTCAAGACAGGTCTCTAAAGGCCGTGAGCACCACAGAGAATGACCATTCTGGGAACCACATCAGGGAGATAGTTCAACTTTAATTAGGTAGAGCAAGGGCTATATACCCCCTGGGGAGTGGGTGGAGGGCCCCCAGTATAGGTGTACACCATTGGTTAGAACTGGGCATTTCAAGGATGCTTGATTTGCATTAAACAGCATTGTCTTACCATATGTGCCTGCAGGCCAGAAGAGGGCGCCAGATTTCACTATAGATGGTTATGAGCCACCATGTAGTTGGTGGGAATTTAACTCAGGATCTTTGGGAGAACAGCCAGTGCTCTTAACCTCTGAGCCATCTCTCCAGCCCCCACGATCCTATCATATGAATGGGACCACAGTCCCTACTTATCCTATAGGTGCAGAGAGGTAAGAGCTAGCAAGGAACTGTGTCAAAAGCTGTATATCAGACATGGTTAGGGGACTCTAAGCCACTTCACCAGATGAGGTCAGGCTAGGAGGCCCTGCTGGTGAAACAGAGGACTGACAGGACTGCAACTTCAAACAGATGGTTCCTTCCAACAGCAAGACTGGATGAAGACCCCTATCTGTTGACACATCCTGTCATTCTTAGCACTCAGGTTGAGGCCGGATGAGCTCAAGCTCAAGTTTAAGACCAGCCTTAGTCCACAGCAAAACTTTATGAATATGGAAGTCTCTGTGAAGCCACAACTACTACAACAAAATAGGAACAAAACCACAAAACAAAAAGAAAAACAATAACAACAATCCGCACATTAAATGACTGTGTCTATCCCGAGTAACTTTGTTGTGTTAGTATATGTGTGTGTAAGTTGCTTGGGGCATGTATATAATACACACACACACACACACACACACACACACACACACACACACACACAC